CCACTTTGCCTGCCTTCGACCGCCAGGACTCGGAGAGGGGAGCGTGAAAAGGAAGAAATGCAAGCTTGTTACCCTAATTGAGGTTTAATGTCTTAACGATTCCGTTATTAAGTCTTCTAAGTTCAACGTCGGGCGGGGGTGGCGGAGCGTTACGCTGATGATGTACTGGAAGCTTCCAAATTCCGGGCGGGCCACATGGCATCCGAGCGGCGTGTTAACAATAGATCGAGTATTCATTACTTTTTCTCCCGTAGGAATAAATGGTAGAAGGCGGAGTGTTTTCTGTAAAAGGGAAGTGTCACGGGTTAATTAAAATTGCAATAAAATTGCAACTTACCTTTTAATCTGCAGATTACGAATTACTTGAAATATATGTTAGTGGGACTTTGCTTGAGGTAGGTACTGCTGTCTTGAGAGAGAAACGATAGGTAAATTGGTTGACAGTATTTACTAAATTAGAGCGACTAAGATATTTTTAGGTAGGTAAAGAATACTGGAATACTGTGTACGAAAAAGACAATCGAGTTTTTAGGGGAAGCTGATAGCGAAATTAAAGGTAACCGGAGCAAAACCAAAATAGTCTTTTCCGGATATTCCAATATCCTATCAGTTCTAAACTTGGTAATAAGGAGTTTCCAGCCAGGTGTGGTATTGCATGCCTGTAATTCTTGCATTCCAGAGGCCATGAGACAGGAGGAGGATCAGTATCCATTGCAAGCCAGCCCAGAACTACACAGTAAAATCTTGGTTTTTTTTTTTGTTTGTTTGTTTTTGGCTGTTTGTTTTTAAAACAGAGGAGAGCTCCAAAGCAGTTTTTAAAAAAGCAACCCTCTGGGCCGGGCGTTGGTGGCGCACGCCTTCAATCCCAGCACTCGGGAGGCAGAGGCAGGCGGATCTCTGAGTTCTAGGATAGGCCCCAAAGCTACACAGAGAAACCCTGTCTCGAACCCCCCCCCCAAACTATTAACTCCCAGCCATTTGTTACAGCTGTTGCTAATGTAGCCCAGTGGTAGTGCTTAGGATGCAAGGTGCCCTTAATTTAATCCCCAGCACTAATAGTGTAGGGTGTCAGTTTATCTGGGAGTTAATTTTTTGTTTTAATTTTTATTTTTTGGGGACCTATTTTCTCCCTTTAGCTTTTGAGCCTGTCCTGGAATTCCCTCTTTAGACCAGGCTGGTCTGGTAGAGCCGCCTGCCTCTGTATCCTCCTGATCCTGGGATCAAAGGCCTGCCCCGCCTCCGAGCCATTTGTTTGTTTTTTCAAGGTAGGGTTTCTTTGTATGACTTCTGGCTGTCCTGGAACTTGCTTTGTAGACCAAATCTGCCTGCCTCTGCCTCTTCAAGTGCTAGGATTAAATGTGACCATCACTGCCTGCCAAGCCTCATCATTTTAAGGTGTGCCTTAGAAGTAGAATTTAAGAGTAAGATTTTGCTCTGGTGAAGTGAGAAATGGGTAAGAGAAATAGCTAGGAAGGCATCCATCAAAAATAGTGTTGTAAATAAGTGTCGGAAATTAGTATGCAAGAAGACTACTGGCAGTAGTTGAGATTGGTTAAAAACACCTGCCATTAAATGTTAGACATACAGGCCAGGTATGGTGGGGCACAACTTCAGTCCAGCGGAACTCGCTGATAGCTTATGATTTTGAGGCCAGTCTGGTCTACAAAGAATTCTCAGGCCTGGTGAGACCTTGTTTCCTCTATTTTTAGTCCTTCAAAAGTGTTAGAAATGTGGATTTCTGAATGGGAGGCAGAGGCAGGTGGATCTCTGGTGTACAAAGCTACATAGAGAAACCTAAGTGTTTGTTCGTCTCATTATTTGCTAAAGCTTCATACACTCAACTCATCGGAAGATTTATGGTTTTGAAACTAGATTTACTGGAGAATTGGCTGATTAAAAAACAACGTTCAGGTGTAGTAAAACCACAGGTGTTTCAGTAAAGATTTTGAAAAACTACAGTGGGTATAGGCTCCTGGTTAAGTCTTTACAGTTCTCAAAAGACAAAAGCTGATTTTCTGTTTAAAGTATTCTAATTTGAACAGATTGCTGTGCTCTTTACTACCAGTTTCTAATTGAGTCATAATTGTTACCTAGATTTTGTTTTTTTTGGGGGGGGGTTCCTTGTGTAGCCCAGGCTGTCTTGGAACTAGCTCTGTACACCAGGCTAGCCTCAATTTCAGATCCACCTGTCTCTTTCAAGTGCTGGGATTAAAGGCAAAAGGCATGTGCTACCACTGCCAGGCTTAGATTTTGTATTTTAGTAAGTGCCAGGTGATTTTTGAACTCTTGGTTGGCTTGATCATTTAAAGTGTCGTTTAAGGAGTTTATCTAAATCTTAGTGGGAACTTTTTTTTTTTTTTTGGTAGTATAGCCTAAAATACATTTTAAAACTTTTTCTCAGCCGGCGAGAAGTGGCCCACACCTTTAATCCCAGAACTTGGGAGGCAGTGGGAGTTTGAGACAAGCCTGGTCTACAAGAGCTAGTTCCACGACAGGCTCCAAAGCCACAGAGAAGCCCGCCTCAGAAACCCTTCCCCCCAAAATCAGCTTTTTCTGTGTGTTAGTGTTTGCATGTATGGATGTGCACCATGTTTGTGTATGCTGGACCTATAGGCCTGAAAGAAAGCATAGGATCCTCTGGAACTGGAATTATGTTGTGAGCCACCATGTGGGGCATTGGGAATCAAAAATCTGGTTCTTTTGTAAGTGCAACGACTGCTCTTTATATGCTGAAGCATTTTCCAGCCCCTGTATGCTATATTGAAAAACATTTGCTTATTTAAAAAGTAGTATTAGTTATTAGTTCATGAGTTTGACAACTTGGGTGAGAAAACGTGTTGACATGGAGCATGTAGTGCTTTCTTTTTTTGGGGAATGGTAGTTTGTTTTTTTTTTTTTTTCTTTTGAGACGTGGTTTCTTCTGTGTAGCTATGGAGCCTATCCTGGCTCTCGCTCTGGAGACCAGGTTGGCCTTGAACTCGCAGAGATCTGCCTGCCTTTGCCTCCCCAGTGCCACCAACGCCCAGCATTTGTTTTTTGTTTCTTTTTTAAACAGGGCCTCACTGTGTAGCTCTGGCCCTCTGGCTGTCCCAGGACTCACTTTGTAGACCAGGCTTAACCTCCAACTCAAAAAGGTCACCTGCCTCTGCCTCCCTAGTGCTGGGAGTAAAGTGGTGTGCCCAGATTACATTGTTCTTTAAGCCTTGTATATGTACTGAGAATTTTTATTTTCCTTTTTTGATGAACTATTGAGTTAGCACCTGAAGATTTCGGGACCAGGTTCAGGATTGTACCAAATGAAAAATTTTATAATAATTGCCTCAAACAAATACAGATAATTTTCAGGTGTTATGTTCTACTGGGAAACTTAAACAGTTATTTAGTATTTGTATAAATAAGCTTGCTTATTGACGTTTAGTCTTAAAGAGTTATAGTACTTGTTCTGTTTGTAGTCTTTGGTGTTTAAATAAGGATTTAGTTTGAATGCTTTCTAAAGGTTCAGTTTAAAATTTTTAAGGGAGAATATGTCCTCATGTCTAAATGAAGTGGGAATGTAACAATCTAACTGCTTTTCACCTTTTAGCTGATAAACCAACCAGTTTGTCATGTGCATTATTTCAGTTTCACATTGTGTCAGATTCTTCATACCTTAGGATTAGGAATACTAGAAGATAATGTCATTTACATTATTTCAGTTTTACATTATGTGTCAGATTCTTCATACCTTGGGATTAGGAACACTAATGATAATGAAACACAAATCCATAAGGACACAATTTTTATCACCTGTTTCATACCCTTCCTCCATTTGTATGGTTTTTCACTGTCAGTGATGATGAATAAAAAGGGCTGGCTCCTTTTTAAGAACATCTTTCACCCTGACTGTAGAACCTTATCAAAGTCTTGTCTTTCACTCTTTGGCTTCGAAAATAGACAAATCCCTTCTAGTGTATGTCTTCATGGTAGACCATTCACCTTCAGTCTGTATTAATCACAGGAAGAAAACTACATACATATATATATACCTTAGGTTTGAAACCCATGAATCTGTTTGACCTTTATTCACTTCATCTCCATTCGTTGGCCTGGTTTTCTGTATTTCTTCATTGCCCAAACTGCCAATTACAAAGCAGACATTAAAATGTATACTCTTGCCAGTCCCCTTAAAGGGGATACAGACTTGGATTTAGTTAAATTCAGCCACATATTGACTATGAAGAATTGTAAAAACAGTCACTAATAGAAGTGATGATTCTCTAAAGGCTCTCTCCATCCCAGTGAAATGTTAATGCTTTACCAAAATGTGTTAGATGCAACAGACAGTTTTCTGTCTTGGGTTTAGGGCACATTTCTGAGGAACTATGACTCAATCTGTCCCTTCTCCTTTCACAGGGCAGCAAGGCGAACCCCATCCTTACTCACTGGAGCTCAGCTTTGATTTTTAACTTCCCTTCCCCATCCTTCCAGAACACACACATTCCCATTCCAAAATTGATTTTATAAAGACATTTTAAACATAATGATGCAACTTGGTGTGCACTACAGCAAATATACAGGTGTTTTTTTTAAAATTATTTCCAAAAAGACACAAAAACGGGACCTGGATTTAAGTTGTAATTTTTAAAATTTCTATTTCTATTTTTTCTGCAGCAGTTGGGTTAGAGGAGGAGCCTTTTAGCCTCATAAACTGACCTCTCTACTTCCTCGTGTATTTTTAAGATTAATTGATGATGTGGAAAGGGCTTTGCTTGTCTGCTATTGAGAACATTACCCTTGCGGTTTTTGTGGAAACTGCTTTTGGAAAAGAAAAGAAATGAACTTTACTGACTTGACATTTTTACACCTCCCGTTTTTCTAATCTGGGCTATTTTTATTTTTGTTTTTTTACAGTGAGATTTTTTTGATCTTCAGCTACAGTAAGTTATTATAATTTTTTTTTTACATTTTTCCTGACTTTCGCTGGTTTCCTTTTTATTGTTGTTACTTACTAGTTATTTATTACTATACTTATTATAATGGTGATGATGATGATGATGATAATGATTTTTAACCGGATTAAAGTGGAGTTTTTCTGAATGTTAAGATTTCTTCAGCCTCCTGATTGACTTTGGAGTTTTCCATCTTGGGAGAGAAAGTGAAGGTGTTAGCATTTTTAAGTAGTTTGATCACATAAACCTTTTCTCTCCCAACCCCACCCTTGCCCTCAACCCCTTCCCCACACTGGAAATAATTTTACTGGCTGTTAAGTCTTTGACCTTATTTTTCCTGATCTTTAACTTAACTGTTTTAGAGCATCTCTGGACGTCTGTATTTTTAATTTTTTTATTTTTATTTTTTTTCTTTTTAATCTTTCATTTGTTAAATTTTTAAACTGTGCTGCAATAAAATGTGTGTGGTACTATTTAACACCTATAATGGTGATGGCATTTTCCCAAAAAGCCATCTTCCTACTGTTTCCCTTGAAATCCCATCCTGCTTTTCCTGTACACTACCCCTCACAAACCACAAGCCGCAGCAACATGGATGCCCAGCCTGGAGCAGCATCAGCCAGGATGACCTGGAGCCAGGGGGGCCTTCGGAACAGATGTACACCCTTCCTGGGTGATGGTAAGAGGTGTGAGGTCCACTTGGTTTCATTGCAAAGACTAGGAAATAAGACTTATTTAAGTTTAAATGGTATAGGTCAGAACCCCTGAAACTGCCTCCAGCTACACAGTTCTTTCCCAGATTATTGTTGAGCTGGTTTGTTTTAATCTTTGGAATTTGGGCTTATAGCTTAGTTGACAGAGTACTTAGTCTGCAAGAGGCCCTGAGTTTTGATTCTTGGCTCTGCATAAACTGGGCCTGGTTACAGACAGGCATACCTGTGATTCATGCAGAAGTGTAAGAAGTTCAAGGTCTTCCTTGGGTTACATAGTGAGGCCTGCCTGGAATACAAGAAACATTGCCTCAAAACAAAATACAGTTTAGATTACATTTATACATTTTAGATTACATTTATTTTAAAACACAAGTTGAGGGGGCTGGAGAAGTGGTTTATCAACTAAGAGCTTTGGCAGCTCTTCCAGAGGTCTGCGTTCAATTCCCAGCAACTACATGGTAGCTTACAGCCCTCTGTAATGGGATCTGATGCCCTCTTCTGGCATGCAGGAGGTACATGCAGATAGTACTGCATTCGTAAAATAGATACCTTCCTGTAACAACAGCACTCAAAGCTGAGGCAGGCGTATGAGGCTAGTGTGGTGGCACTCTGATAACAGCCCAAACAAAATCCCTTGTATCCAGTCGCAAGAAATAAGTGATACCTGTAGTATTAAACTGTTTTTAAGAATTTAAGGAAAGCAGCCGGACATTGGTGGCACATGCCTTTAATCCCAGCACTCTGGAGGCAGAGGCAGGCTGTGACATGTGGGCATATCATATTGGACAAAAAGTAAAATGTAGGCCAAATGAACACCAAAGAGCACATCAAAGAAAATGGTGAACATTAAAGCAGAAAGCTCCTGAGGTCTGGGAAAGGAGTAAAATCTTTCTACCTTTTACCCTGTATTGTGTTGCAGCTGTTCATTATAGGGTCACTTTTTTTCTTGTTCTACAAGTTTATTATCTTTTCTTGTTAGAGAGATCAAGGGTCTTGTTAGGAAAACCTCAACCTAACTCATGGTGATAGATGGAGTGAGAAACAATGATACCATATGATGAGATTTATTCAAAAGTGGATGTTTAACTGCATCAAGAAGCCAGTGACTCCTTTTAAGAGGAAGTGAAATGAATCTTACTTAATGTTAAGGCCAGTTAATAGAAATGTGTACTTTTGTACTATGTTAAAGAGTATGGTTCCCTCCATAACCCCCCCCCCCCAAGTTTCTCTGTGTAGTCCCGAGTGTTCTGGAACTTGCTCTATGTAGACTAGGTTGGCCTTAAATTTTCAGAGATCCACCTGCATCTATCTGCCACCCAAGGGTTAGTATTAAAGGTGTATGCCACTAGTGAAGGGCAAGTAGGAAGTGAGATAAAATTCTCATATTTAGAATTTTAAAAAAATTAAATGTATGGGTTTTGCCTATGTGTCTGCTACCATGTACATGCCTGGTGTCCTTTGGGACAAGACATTGCATTAACCTAGAACTGCAGTTAGATGATTTTGAGCTGCCATGTGGATATAGGTAATTGAATGTGGGTCCTCTCGAAGTGTTCTTAACTGCTGAGCTGTCTTCCAGCCCAAGAATTGAACACTCATAAAAATAAACTTTACTTGGAGAAAAAGGGGGAAAAAATGATTGAGGTCTGTGTTTCTAAAGTGGACTGTTTTTCAATTTTCATGTCACTTGACCATTTCCTGAGCCATTCTGAATGAAGCCTTTGTACTTTGCTTTCAGGTTGTTGCTGTTCCTTCTTTAAGGAGTTGTGTTTGACTCAGTCCTTCCTCATTTTGTGCTCATTTCATGAAATGTTTCAGTTCTATGATTTTTGTATGTAGTCTATGAAGTGATCTCCACCAAATTTTAACAGTATGGGCTTTTCTCTTGAGTAGTTTTGGATAAATTCAGTTACCTATTTGTTAGTTTATTTGAATATCATCCTTACCAACTTCAGGGTATGTTAACTTTCGATGTAGGAGCAGAATTACCACCTTGTTTTCTTTCTTTCTTCATTGAGACAGGGATTCTCTGTTGCCTGGCATTCCTGGAACTCACTCTGTAGATCTACCTGCCTCTGGGTCCCAAGTGGCAGGATTAAAGGCGTGCCCACCACCAATACCAGGTGCCACCTTATTTTTTGGTTTTCCAAGGCAGGGTTTCCCTGTTGCTTTGGAGGCTGTCCTGGAACTAGCTCTTGTAGACCAGAGATCTGCCTTCTGAGTGCTGGGATTAAAGGCACGCACCACCAACCCCTGGCTGCCAGTGGCCTAAAATGTGAGACCTTGTCTCAGAAAAGGAAAAAAAAGACAAACTGTATCTAGACTATTGTTTATTCAGATTGGTTTGTTTTGACCCTCTTTGGTTTATCAAATTATAGGTTTTGTGTCACTTAGACCAAAAGACTGGTTACTTTTTCTTTCCTATCATGTCATCAACTTTTCATTTAAAACCATTTACTGCCATATTCTTGGTCCGTGTCAGTTCATTATTTATTGTCTTTAGTGTATTGCAGTAGACATCCACTTTTTAATATTTTGTTTTTGCGTTATGTATGAGTGCTTTGCATGCATATACCTGCATGCTAGAAGAAGGCATCAGATTCTGTTATAGATGGTCATTAACTACCATGTTTGTGGTTGCTGGGAATTGAACACAGTACCCCTGGAAGAGCAGCCAGTGCTCTTAGCCTCTGAACCATTTCTCTAACTCCAGATACCCATTTTTATTTTTTCCTCTGTACTAGTCTAGTCTCAAAAGTGTCAGCTACATTGATTCTGCTAAAATGTAAATGTTTGATCTTAGTGTCATATGCATATGATCCAGTACTTGGAAAGTGCAGAGAGGATCAGGAAAGAGGGCATTCATGGGTACCTTTAGCTGTATAGAATTTAAAAGGATCTAGGGCTGAGTGAGACCTACCTCTAGGGAGAAAAAAAAAAAAAACTTAAAAACAAGTGTTTTTAACTTACTGTTAACTGTGCTGTGCTCTGGTCATGTTAATAGTCTGTCTCACTATGTGGTCCTGGCCTGGAATTCAGAATGGTCTGTCTCTACAGTGGTAGGATTAAAGTCTCTGCCACCACTCCTGGCACACTGGTCATCTTACTGTGTATTAGGTAACTGGCTAGGCACTGGGAGAGATGGCTTAGCAGTTAAGAATACTTGCTAAACTTGCAGAATATCTGGACATGATTGCTCCAAGGGGGATTTGATACCCTTTAGTGCTAGGCACTCAAATGGTATACATACACGCAGACAAACACTCACATAAAATACAGATTTAAAAAGAGGTTAGATGTGTTCTACTTCAGGGTCTTCACATATTACTTATATTCATGTTAGATTCCTGTTTTTGTAGGTTTTTATTCAGTAAGCTAACAAGTCACTTACTGATGATCTGCTGGATGGAGCTGTCACATGGTGCCAGCATATGAAGCAATCATTTTTGTAGATCAAGCTTCAATTCACAGTAATCTCATGGTGGCTAATAATTGTAATTCCAGTTCCCAGAGGGTCTGAACTAGACATATACAAACAAAACATGTACAGACAAAACACCCATACACTAAAGAGAAATCAACTGGTAGGACATGTATAATGACATGATTTTTTAATCCCTGCACTTGGAAGAGAGAGGCTGGTGGATCTCAATTTTAGGTTAGCCTGGTCCATAGTGGCACCTGTTTGGAGAACAAACTCCACTAGTGTGAGATGCTTTTAAAATTGCTTCTAAGAGCTACTCCTAGAATGATGGCCTTAAACAACATGTATTTGTTGCTGCTTTGATTCATTTTTGCTTCAGTTTATTTAGCTCATGGAAAATTTTCAAACAAAACTCAGATTAGTAATTGTTCTTCATGTCCTTGTCCATCTTTTTTATACTTCTTCATTTTATTTTATTATATATATTATTTTTTCCACTTGGTGTAATGGCACACATCTTTAATCCGAGGCTGATCTGAGTCCACCACAGCCTGGTCTCCATAGCAAGTTCCAAGCTAGCCACGGCTTTATAGTGATAACCTGTCTCAAACAAAATCAGTCTTGCTTATACCTGTATCTACCTTAATGTTATTTTAAACCCATATCCTATGTGATGTGAAGGTAACTTAGTTTTTTAAATCATTTTTATTTTAATGTGTTTTGGTGTTTTTCTTGAATGTATGTCTGTGTGAGTTGTTGGATTCTGGAGTTACAGTTGCTGTGTGGATGCTGGGAATTGAACCCAGATCCTCTGGAAGAACAGTTAGTACTCTTAACCACTGATTGGTACATCTCTCCTAGTTTTCCCTGAACTCATTTTATAGACCGTCCTGGACTGAAACTCATTGAGATCTGCCCCAGACTGAGTCCAGTTGTCTCTGTCTGCTTCTACCCTTACTGGCAGTATCACCAGGCATTTTGTTTTTTTACCTTGTCAAGTAGGCAAGGCATACTGACCAGCCAGAGGCCCTACTCTAGTTGTTGACTTAGTGCTGCGATTATGAGTATGTGCCACCATTTTTGGCTTTCTTTTTCCTTAGTTTATTTAGAGGTCTGTGTGTGTACCACATGTATGTAGGTGCATTTAGAGGTCAGAAGAGGGTGTCAGATACGCTGTAGGTGGGGTTAAAGGCATTTGGTTGCTAGGAAGTGAACTCAAGTCCTGCAGAAGAGTACTGAGTGCTCTTACTGAGCAGTCTCTAGCTCTGATTCTTAAAAATAAAAAAAAAAAAAAAAAAAAACCAGTGTGAGTACATGTGGATGCTAGGATTAAAACGCTGCTGTGCCTAATTTGTTTTCTCTGCATGTGTGCTTGGTGTCTGGAAGCTAAAAAGAAGGGAGTCATCACCTGGGGCAAGAGTTGTGTGCTACCATGTGGGTGCTGGCACTCAAACCCAGATCTTCTTAGGATAGCATAGAATGTTCAAACAACCATCTTCCCACCCTCAAAGTTTAATTCTTGATTGATAGTAGCTACAAATA